AAAAAACAGATCCAAAATTTCCTTAATTTTTTTGTGCATTTCTATCGATATCTCGAAAACGATTGAAACTACCTGAATAATTATTTGTAAATGTTCGAAAGCCCATTTAAAAAAAACTATCGTTTGCATTTTGAGCTTATCAAAAATTCCTAACATCTAAACAGTTAGACGTCAAAACTTGCACAGACAGGATTGATATGTCAAAGATCGAAGACCAGCCTAAAAACTTGCAAGTGGCGGACAGAGAAAAAGCCGATGAAAAACGTAAATATTCAAAAACAGAAGATACTGGACAGACAAATAGGAAAAGTTCCGAAAAGAGGACGCAAGAAAACGAAAATTTCGTCACGAAAAAATTTGAATTAAACATTTCGTAATTATGTTAAAAAACGGGTTTTCCCCGCCCGTCAGAAACTGTCTGTTCCTAACCTACAAAACAATAGCAAAACCTAACCTACAAAACAATATTTAAACGAGCTCATATCTCGAAAACGGTTGAAAATTCCCAATCAGTAGTGGGGACTCTTTCGAGAGAGGATTTCAAAATATATCTTTAACCTTTTGCAATTGTGACAAAATTTCCAACCTCAAAGGAGACAACCATATATCAAAAATGATCATTTTTTATCCTTTTTCACGTATATCTCGCAAACGGTTGAGAATATCAAAAAACTAATTAGAACCTTTTGGAAAGAGCTTATCAAAAGCGGCAAATGGCGAAAAGGGCGTTCTATTGAAAATAGCTGGCAGAATCGTCACGACTTTTTCGATCAAACCCTGCTAAATTGTTCTGCTCTGCTTGTCTCATTTGCTTCATTAGATAATTTTAACCCCTAAAGGGTTAAAAGCAAAAATAAATGGAAAACCGCCTATAGCTGGGAAACCGTCAAAAATAGCTGGCGAGTCCAGAGAACCATTCCAAAATACCATTTGAATTGCCATCTTTTTATTTTTAGAATTGGGCAAAATTTTTAACCTGCAAAATGTTAGAAGCAAAATCTAGTTAATTCTTGTACATTTTTCTTCGAATCTCTGATACGGATTGAACCACGTGGGAGTGATTAAGATCTTTTCGATTGAACATCTCAAAAACTGTCTTTTGCCTATTAAGTTTTATCACAGACTCCTAACCTCTAAAAAAATTGAAGCAAATCTAGGTTGGCCAAGTTGGCTACAAAGAACAAAGAACGTAGGAGAAAACCATGTTCCGGCTTCAAATGCTAAAAAAAATGCACGAAATTGTTTTTCTCAAAAAATGTTGTAGATTCTGTCGCTATAAATTGTTTTTAACGGTTATAGACAAATTATATCCTGTAAAAAATTACTATGCAAACGAAAAATCCTGGTACTTTCCCTTTGAATATCGGAAGCGAAATAATAATCAGTAAAATATTTCAAACAAGGTTTAAAATGCTGCCTTGGCTTATGATAAAATACTAACCTCTAAACAGATAGAAGCAAGCACTAGCATCGAGATGGAACTGATTTGTAAACGCTCAAAAAAACTTGACTTTAAGCGGAAGCAAACTAGAAAGACTAGAAAAACGGAAAAATCTTCAGTGAGATGAAGTTGGTGTCCAGTAAGCCAATGATAAGCCTTGATAGAATAGAAAAGAATGGAGACCAAAATAAGCCCCGAAAGAAACAAGCTAGCAAATCACATGAAATCAGTGCCAAGTTAATTTTGTTTCCAGCCAAAGTGTCCCAAAATCTATCACTACTAACCTGTAAAAGCCTCGAAGCAAAAGTAAATTTAAAGATTTAACTATTTTTGATCTCAATGGCAAGGGTCGGAACTATCTGAATATTCCTAAGGGCTCTTTATACGGATTCTGTAGATAGATAGAGGCGAAAATGTACACAAGCCCCATAGTGTCCTTTATTGGCAAACGCTTTTCTTTCTTGCCTTCCTGTCTCTTACCTTGGATTTGTCCTACCTCATCAACATGTTAGCAAAGCGACTTGCCAAGAACAACCGATTTTACACCGGTTTCATGCATGCGGAATTTCCAATCTTTCACTTTGTCTGCTAACCAATTAAGCATTTACGGAAAGTTTACCGAATCTATTCGAGCATTTAGCTAATGAATTTGTTCAACACTTATGACCTACGCAATGAGAGTCGATTCTTGCAGGCAAACTCTTGAGAATCTCCTTGTTTACAGATATCGACAATGATCCGAACCGAGCGCCCCCTTGTGACCCAACCGTTTGCAATCTACCCGACTGTTTCTGCTCAGAAGACGGTACCACCATCCCTGGGGATCTGCCTGCTAAGGACGTGCCCCAGATGATCACCATCACGTTTGATGATGCGATCAACAACAACAACATCGAACTCTACAAGGAGATTTTCAATGGAAAACGCAAGAATCCCAATGGATGCGACATTAAGGCCACCTATTTCGTCTCGCACAAATACACCAACTATTCCGCCGTGCAAGAGATGCATCGCAAAGGTCACGAAATTGCCGTTCACTCCATTACGTAAGTGCGCTTTTGTGTCTTTTGTAGATATTGGGTGATTCAAGCCAAAGAACTGCAATTGATTTGCTAAAGAGTTAAGAGCGCTTTTCCCACTTAAATAAAAGGTGTTGGTTCAATTAAGAAACTTTGTCCAAATTGGGAGAAAACAGCGAAAGATTTTCCCATTTTTCCATTTAGGAAGCCCCAATTGAAGGCTGTTTGCTTTTCGAGTTTTTTTTGGCAAATTTATAGTGTGTATAACTTATAAACTTTTTTTGAACAAATCGGGCAAAATTGCGACTGATTTTCGATTTTTGCGTTTGAAAAAGCCCGAATTGCTCGATCGAAGAGCTAAGAGTAGCTTTTCCAACTTCTTTGGTTTCAGAGTTGCTGGTCTTTTCAGTAAAAAGCGTTTTCCGATCAAACAAATTAGTAAAACTTTGACGCGAATAGCATCTTGCTTTTAAATTTTTTCCTTAAAGAGCCCCAATCCTCCTATTGAAGAGTTTGGCAACCTTTCGTTTCTGAATTATTACATTTTTTTGTATAATAGGGATTTGGTCTTTTTTAAAGCGTTAATAACTGAAGAAAGTTTTTCTAACTCCTCCTAACCTAAATCGGGCGCAATTACGACTAATTTTCAATTTTTATATTTGAAAAGCATCAATTGTTCTAAGGGTGGATTTTCCAATTTTTTTGGTTTCAGTGTTGCGCATTTTGTAAGTAAAAGGTGTTTTCCAACCAAGAAAAATTAAACTTTGCCAAGAACAGCATCTTTTTAATTTATTTGCTTAAGGAGCTTCAGTTGCTCCAATGAAGAGTTTGGCGAACCTTTCGTGTCTGAGTTATCAGATTTTTTATGTAATACGCTCTTCAGCGCCAATGCCTAATTGGAAATTCTAATTTGCCAAATTCACTACCTATGGAGCCTCACATGCTCCGGTGAAAAGTAAGCAGCTCTTTTCTCCAATTTGTTTCGCTTAAGAATCACTAATTCTCCATGCAGAAGCAGTTTTCCAATTCCCAAATCTCGTTAAAATTAAAAAAATATATTAAACTGATTTCCCAATTTTCGACTCATAGACCCTCAATCGCTCTATAGGCTGGCTTAGAGTGCTGGTCTATAGCGGATTTTGCTTATGAGCCACAAACTTTTTAAAAGTCGAGCACTCTTAAGGACTATCGCCTAATCGAAACTCAAAAAAAAAACTGAACCAAATTGCAACTCAATTCCCAATTTTTTTTAAAGAGCCTCCATTTCTCTATCGAAAAGTACTGACTTTCTCTTGCCAACTTGCTTGGCTTCAGAGCTACGGATGTTTAAATAACAGTCGGTTCCTAATTTTTTTTAATTGCGAAAAATTGAAGCAAACAGCCAACTGATTGTCCGATATGTTCACTAAAAGAGCCTCAACCGCTCTATTCAAAAGTTTAGAGCTTTTTGTGCTCGCAGTTCGTGTGCTTTGGGAATTGCGATTTTTTATAAAATAAAACGGTCTTAAGCGCCAATGTAATTAAATTTTTTAATGGCAAAAAATCGCGATTTTTGATCTAATTTTTTTCACTACAAGGGGTTCAATTGTTGGAAGGTTTAGTTTAAAATATTGAGATATTTTTGAGAGAAACTTTTTTCCATTAAAATAGCCAAAAATGCTTGAGTGAAGTAAGAAGAGCTCCTTTTCGTAAGTTTTTTAGCTGCAAAGTTATGAAGATATTCAACAAAAAAAGCTTTTTCATTTTCAAAATTTGGCCTCAACTGCATCTCATTTCACAAATTTACCACTAAAGAGGCTCAAATCGCTCGTCCCATTTCGGAATTTAATATTTTTTAAAGTATTGTTTTTTAAGGACTAATGGCCAAGTAGATTTTTTCTATGACACAAAATTGCAACTTTAGATTTACTTTTCCTTAAAGTGCTTTTTTCTGAATTGCTTGGTCTCAGAGTGA